GTGAATTCTGTAGAAATTGGTCCAATTAAAGTGGACTTAGAAACTCGATATCAAAAGGATAGTCTGCCATCCGTCGAAGTTACTCGACCAATTACCGATCCGCTTACCGAAAATGAGCCAGCTCAGATTTCAAAAAACCCGCTTTCGGGGCGCTTGGATATTACATTTAGAATTGTCATTGAGCAAATTGGTGTAGACTTAAATCCTGATATGCTTGCCTTTGCTAAACATTGGTTAAAGGTGAACCGTGTATTTACCTCGAAGTTTGAAGCATTATCAAGTAAGGAACCTGTAGGTTCTCAGGATCCATCGTCCTCGTCATCTGAAACTTATAAACATAGATCCACCGGAACGATCACGAGCTTACAAGATTTGAAACTTCCCAAAGATAAAAAGCGAAAGGATGAACCAAATCCTAAATTTAATATAAAAGATTTGTTGACCAAACTTAACATCTTTGGCCAAGGGATATTCGTGTTAAGAACAATCTTAGTCACCGCTTCTGCTCATAACTTGATGGCGCAAACTAAATTGACAAATATAAATTTTTCAACCTGGTTTAACAACCCTACGACCTTACATTCCGTTGAAAAACAAGATTTAGAAGGTGTTTCCGTTAGCAAAAGTTCGGTGCACCCGGGTTCAAGGGGAAGTGGTGGAAAGAGTGCTAATATTTTGGTGTTCTCTGGTTTCGGTGGTATTGAAAACATTTCTGCAGTGATTATAGAAAAGACGTACGCAGGATCCAATACACTATTATCCGTAGAATTTTCGCGAGTTAGTACCAACATTGCAATTAGTTCTTTGATTCCCGGGCGTCCGAAGAATTTTGATCCTCATATGGCGCTTAATGTTTTTTTGGCACTTCAAGGACTTACCGTCAAGCTTCCCCAAAGTCTACTCAAGCTATACAATTTTGTTGAAAAATGGAAAGCAGAAAACTTGCCGAGTTATGATTTCTTGTATAAAAAGTTGTTGGATGAATGGGAAGGGCAGCGAAAAATGCCAACTGTAAATCCTCGAACTCAGGAAAAGAATGTCAACACGCGAAATTCTTTGGAGGTGAAGTTTCAATTTTTAATGAAAAGATTATCTCTTCAATCACACTTGCTTCCATCTCTTAAATTCCACTATGGTGCCTGGGATTTATTTATTCGGTTGGAGCAAAGCGCCACTTCTCTCGGAGGAAATTTGATCAACTATTCCGGGCAATTGGCTAATCAGGAGATTCACTTTGTCACTCGCCAAAAACATCAAGGCAAACAAAATGCAAAGGCCTCTAACATCAAATCAGATGATCAACAACAAGAAACTGCATTCACCATACCAGCAATTAGGGCTACAGGCAACATCAGACCATTCGAACATCGAAAGTTTGTTATTGGAAACGCGAAGAAAATGCCAAAACATTTGAAGTTGGAGTCAGTGGTGTCCTTGGACCTCGTGGAATTAAGTCTGAACGTAAACATTATCGACAACTTGCTGACCGCACAATCTCTCATTGGTAGTGAAATAAATGATGCGCTTGATGTATTTTTATTTTCATCGAAAAAAATAAAGGAACTTGGGACAGTTTCTAAGATCAAGGATTCCTCACTAGAACAAAAAAATGATTTACATGGTGCTGAAAAGGAAAAATTGTATTATAACCTCAGGATTTCTCTTAGAGGCTTGAGAATATCCGCGGTGAGCCCTTCAGCCGTGGGATTTTTTGAGACCAAGACCTTATACGGACACATCACAAATATTCCCTCGCCAGACGTCTTGAATAAACCTGAATGGAAATTTTCTGCTCAGAATTTTTCGCTGTCCCTTAACCATAACACAGGTGTTAGCAGAAAGGCAACGGAAGATGATGATATTCGAAGATATCGGATAGCCTATATTGTGATTGATTTAACATTACAAAATTTCAAGGACCGGGACGATCAATTAAACACATCCAACAAAAAGTCACAAAAAATCGATGATCCGGTCGAAAAAATAGAATCTTACTTCTTAAAATTATTTAAAGTTCATGCCGTCATGCAACCCATTGCATTGGGTCGTTTAATTGATTTGTATGTATACTACAGCAGTGAATTGGAACGCAGAAAGGAAAAGAAAGCAGCTGAAATTGAAAAATTAGCGGAGAATACTCGTAAGATATGGAGATCACTTAATGTTGAGATGCCTAAATATAAATCGAGCAGCAAATCGTTGTTAGACGAAAAAGTCTTATCACTCGAAATCTCAAGATTTGCTGTTGCCCTTCCACTCGATTTGCGAGACGAATTTTTATCGACCTCGGACGACTCAAATGCTAAAGGTTCCTCGGATACACTGCAAATTCCAGCATTTATCTTATCCGCATCTTCAATGAATTTTATCACGAGGAAATTGAAGTCCAGTCGTGCAACTCTTAAGGATCTGTGTCTTCAATTTGTGCCACAATTTGATCAAGGAAATGAAGACCATTTTTTTCCCAACGCCCATCAGAAAATAAATCGAATTTTGCTTCCAGAAATTTTATTTGAAGGAAATTCAAGTGGTTCCAACGAAAAGAGGAAAATAGACATTGATTCTAGAGTTGAAGGTTTCGATATTGACATAGGTGGTGATATTGTCAATCACATTAATTGTCTCAGTGAAATATATGCAGCGAGTCGAGATCGTTTGGAAACATTTACCACTGAGGCAAATTTAAATTTGGGATTGCAATCTTCATCACAACCTAAATCCTCAATCAACTTGGATAATTCAGATTCACAGGAAAACACCGAAATTTCATCGAATGCCATTGACCTGGATCTGGTAATTACATTTAAGGCCAAAAGCGGGACGATAAAACTATATTCGAAAAGTCATTTGGCAAAACACGCAAAGAAAGCAACAAATGGTAGGATATCCGACAAATCGAAGGCAATGCGTGGTTCACGAAGCAGTATTGCCTCCATTCCTCGGTTGAATTTGGAAGGCATATCCGGTCACGTTTCAAATGATATGGATGATATATCAAGAGAACACGGCATCGATTCTATCGTAATACCGGGACTTAGTATAAATACGATGTATCGAGCAGTTTTAGGACACCAACTTCTTTCCACAAATGATTCCTTGACGAAGCGCATACATATAGAACTTGTCATTCACCCAAGCTCCAATACATTATATCCATCTTTAGTGCCATTTTTCAAAGACATCATAGATGGTCTCAAAATCGGAGTACAGAGATCTAGTGATAAGAAAGCCATTGCTGTTAAGGAAAGCTCTTCTCCGATTCACGGCATGAATATTACTTGTTATTTCAAACTCTCGAGCACTACGTTCGAGCTTAGTTGCCTACCCGTGTCAAAAGTTAGTTGCTTTCTCAAGTGGGAAGAAGGAAACTTTCTTATATCATCAAACAGTGCTGAGCTAGGAGGCCAAAGTTTGACCTGTGTTGGAAAAATTAAAGGAGCGTCGGGGAACATCCGTCATGCTTTCTCACCTGAAGATTGCTTAAAAGCCGAAACGAAGGACATCTCGTTCAACGCGACTCTTATGAGCAGAAGAACCGAAAGCGTCTCAGATGATTCAATATCAATAATCGTTGAACTTCCTCGGATTATGGCTGATTTAAACATTCGTCATTTACAAGATTTGTTGCTTTTGAAGACGACTTGGTTTGACCAAGCCACGAAATTATATGAAGAGAGTGTTTTACACACATCGCGTACTGCAGTTGGTGAATATGAAAGACTTACATCTTCACCAGTACAAATGCAGGACGAGGAGACTAATGTTAAACCGTATTCGGTTTATGTACTGGTGAGGTTAAAACAGTTAGATTTATCTAGTGATTTAGGTCAAGCAGTTGGAAAGGTTCGTTTTAACACCCAGAACATCCAAGTACGCACGAAAAATGTTCCCGGAGTAGTGAAGAAACTTACGGCATCAACCGACATTCTTGACATACAATGCGATGGTCGTCTAATCGGATACGCAAACATGACCGGGCTCACCTTTTCAACATTGCTTGGTGTTCCTCCGCATTCAACTTCCGATGGCCCGACATGTGTTACAAATTTACTGTTTAAAACAGAGAGGATTCAGTCTTCTTTAGAATACGAATATCAGAAAATTTTGGTATTAGAAGTAGACCCAATGCAATTACGTCTTACAGATAATTGGAATATTGTATCTCCTGAAAACGCTTCAGTATTAGTTCATGCCGATATATCAATAAGGAGAATCCAGGCAATTGTTGCCGTAAAAACAATACCTGTTTTTCTACACATGGTGAACAAAATTTTGGCACAAATTGACGAAAAAAGAATGTCTGCAGCCAACGCTATTTCATATTCAAAACGAATCACCACTACAAATCCTCGCCAAAGCTTGTCTAATTCACCAACTCCATCAGCATCTGAAAAACATTCACGTGATTATATAGCATTCAACGAAGTTGTAGTTGGAGGACTGACAGTCCATCCAGTCGGAAGGATTTCGATAATGGTGGAAAAGGCACAACTTACGATTTATCCGAATCATTTTCATGACGTTGACTGTGTACAAAATAGATTTGACGGATTATTGTTGGATATGAAGAAGTTCATTGGGGAGGATGAAAAAATTCATAGGGAACTCGATGTTCAACTTAACTCAGTGGCTTTAACGAAGAATTTGTGTAAAAAACTTAATATTAAAGATGAACAGGGTTTACCATTTCAACAATGGTTTGAACATGTCGAAGCTTCATCGTCGAAGAATATTTTTACGCTACCAAGTACACATCTAATAATGAACACAATACAAGGAATGGGAAGTGATGTGGTTGACCATAAATTTGAAGTTGACTTCAGAGGAAAATTAGACGTTGCGCTGAACTTTGGATTAATCAGATATCTTCAAGAATTAGCTGTATTATATAAAGAACATTTAAGAAAGAATGCAATAGGTTCTAATAACGATTTTCCAAAATCACCAATAGTGCCGTTGACAACACCAATCGAAAGTTCCCCTTTAGAATCTCCAATAACGACATCGGCACCACCTAAAGAAGTAAAGCTCCTACCCACCACCAGTGGGATTATCGGTGGAGCGGGAGGAACTGAAAATGACGAAAAAGAAGAGTCAAATAAAATTGAAATAAAATATAACCCGATAGTGCCAGTCAAATTAGAACCACAATTGCGTTATCTCGGAGACGCGACACCCCCGTTAGAATGGGTTGGAGTACAAAGAGCAAAAGTTCCTGGGTTCGTTCATACGGCTATCACAATGAATTTAGATGAACTCATCAATCAAATTACTAGTGAATCATTCAAAGCCGCAAAAACATTTTTATAGCGAAAACATTTGTTTATTCCTTTCCATCGGCTTGTATTTGTAAAACGTTATCACCTACCTGTTAGAACTTTAGCACATGCAATTTGTAAATATACATGAGATTTCATAGATACTCAATGATATATAACGTTTATATTGAGACAATATTTTGTCCCAAAATAGACTTATTTACTAACCAATGTCTTTATCAAGTTAAAATTCTTAGAAATTATTTAATTAGTATACTGTAATGTATTAATTTATTTTATAGATTTTGTCTAAAGTCGAAATAAATATTAACGCGAATATTAGTTTCAATTTAGGACTTCATCAAATTATTGTGTAAATTTCAATTACAGCCAAACCTCTTATATTGAAATCATTCACAACAAACTGTGAGGATGTTACCTAGCTTTGAGAGATTAAATGAGGAACTTGATAAAATGGTATATATCTTGTTTGTTTTTAGTGTTTTTGTGAATGACTGCTAAAGGTTTTTGAACATCAGTAATAAGGATATTCAAGAAAATATGTTCAGGATTCTTCTTTTTAAAAAAACTTTTAATTTCCTTTTTTGACAATTTTATCGAATGTATGAGTATGAGCAGAATTTTAGTTGCTATTTTCGGCCGCAGAGGGGTGTTCTTTATACTGTAAATCACTCATGCGGTACCCTTACGGCACTTGTGCGTCGCCTGCTGACCACTAGAAATGATATAATTTAAATAGTAATTTGTTATGTTTATCTATATTGCTAAAGCGCTAACACTTTGGCGTAAGGACTAGTGGTTGGCTGAAATAAAGTAATGTTGGGATCCGATGCAATCAATTCACCTATTTACTATATTTCCAAAATAAAAAGAAAGTACAATCATTCCCAATAAACGAAGGATCACTTAATAATTATTATAATTCATCAGAAATGGTTGCCATGTATTAAATTTTTTATTTTATTAATAAAAACAATTTTTATATATTAAGTAAACTTGTTCCTCATAATTAATTCTATATATGATAAATTTTTATCAAATTTGAACAAAAACTTATTATTATTATTATTTTCAATTAGTGAAATCTTGCTTAACATACTTTATTTAGTTTACATTTGTATTTCTAATTACAAGAACTATTATCTATAAATTATTTTAGATACATGTCATGCTATATCAAAATAATTCCATATTGGCTTATTGCTATTGACTTACTTTTTGGTATGTGCTAACATGCCAAGACTTTGTTAGTATTGTTATTATATAAATAATAAAAGTTAAAATTAATTATATTGTTTTCCTGATCTAGGCCAGTTACTTATAAATTTTTATTGCAATATTCTTGCTTTCTTTATTTTTTCTGATAAGAATCTGTATTGCATTATGTTCTTGAATTAAGTGTCAGCTTGTTCTTTTTTTTTTTTCTGTTTATATTTTCTTTTCTTTCTATTGTTGGAATCTTGTACATCTGTAATTTCAAAGTTTTTAAAATTTTTTAACAAGTCTTATACCTATAAGAAATTATTGCTTAAGACAAGACTTATATCTTAGAACATTATTGCTTGATACCTTCTTGGGATAATCAACAATAGAAAAAACTTGTTACTGGATTGGGATAAAACTTTTTTTAATTTTGAAGAAAAAAAAATCAATCCAAAAGGAAAAAAAGAGCATTATAATACATCTTAACAAAATGGACATCTCACCATCTTGTTCTTTTTACTGTGTCCAATGGCATCATCAGATTTATTGTTATACAAGATGAGACATATAAAAGTTATATGTTTTGTTTACATTTCTTGCTATATGTAAATTAACCAATCCAAATTTTTAGCCAATTATCATTCAGAAGTTCCAGTATAACCAAAAATTCAGGATCAAATTAAGATAGACAAAATTCTTTAGAAAAATAAAAAAAAAGTATACATATTTGAAAGAATGGAAAGGAAATTTGAGAAAGATAAAAGAAGAGTTTCAAAAGCCTATGTCAATCTTTTTTGAAGTCTTGAATAAGAATCCTAATGATTCTCTTCGATTCTGTATTTGATTCTCAAGTTTATATTAAATTTAATAGGTGGGATATATCCCACCATCATTTTTAATAGTGTTCTGAACCTCATGCGATTTCCTGTGATTCTGTTCGATTCCAATTTTCGGAACCATAGTCTTGAATCTCTGGAAAAAAAGAGGAATGTGTTTTTTTTACAGGTTTTTTTTCTTAACAAAGTATTCTTGTCTTTGACTTTGTAGATAGGTTTTTCTTATATTTACCTGTTAAAATACAGAAAGTTTATATTAAAGAAAAAAAAATAAGAGGAGAAATTCTAAAGCTTCTAGATATTAATGTTATTAAAGAAAGTGTATAGACTTTATTATAAAAAAATATAAAATTTCTTTGAAATATTTGTTCTTGTGTTGACAAGAGAATCAGCAGAAAAAGTTTTTTACCTTTGATTATATATCTGATAATTCTTTCTGAGTTATTAATAATATATTTATTTTAGTTATTTTAGTTAATAATTTTTTCTTATTTTTTTATTCTATTGAATATTTCCTTTTTTAATATTTATATATATGTAATTCTAATTTATTTTTATAATATTTGCAAATATATTCTATAGTCTTATATTTTTTACATCAAAGGTATATCTTGTCTTTGTATATATCAAGTTTTTTTATTTAGTTTGTCTTTACTAAGAAACTTTTCATAAAACAATTTATATCTGAATATTCTTTTTTTTTTCAAGCAAAGATACTTAATACATATATGTTTTTTATTAAATTATTTATGATCAATTACATATACATTTTAAATCTATTTAAGTTAACCTCACACTATAACTATAGATTTATCCAATATATCAATTGAACACTATAGGGGTGGATTTATATCTTGAAAGGAATTATTATTAGAAGATAAAAAATTTATTACTAGTTTTAAATTATTTAACCTAATATAAATCCTGTCTTGACTGCATTCATTATAGGAAAAATACAAATTATTACTTTTCAGAAATTAGTAAAACATTCAAATATTCTAATACTTTTTGCCCAGAATCTTGGAAAAGGTAAGTCACTCTTTGTCACTACTTGCAGCTTTAGGTTATATCAAGTATATATTTAAGATATTTTCTTTTTCTAAGCAAGTACTAAATTGAAATAGCTTCAGGCTAAAGTATTTTTTTTGCATAACAGAATCTGCCATATCAATTTATATTAATGGGCTTATATAGGAGCTAAATCAGAAGCTTTTCCTTATGCAACATTTCTACTTTAACCTGTTTTTCAACCTGGGCTCATCAGAAAGATCAGAGGTCCTATTTCTATGCAACTTAGCTATTTTTGATAAGGGATTGACAACTGATTGGATATAACATATATTAAAGCTAGTTAACCAACTATAAAGGTAATAAATTTTTTTGTAACCAGATAGGTTTGAATCCTAAATCTTTCTCTGATAATCTATAAAGCATTATTATTATATTATAAATCTATAGGTTTTTATATTTAAATATTCTATTGTTATAGTTTTATTAATTTATATAAAAACTTGTGATTTTCAATAATAAAAGATTTGTTTATATTTTTCCAGTCTATTATTTTTTTATTTTCTGTTTTAAGCTATATTTTATATATTCTTTATATAGCTTATTTATCTATTTATTTACTATTTTGTTATTATTTATAAAGTTGTTAATTTCTATATTTAGGTTCTTACTGTTCTATTGCAATATTTCTATCATTTCTCTTATATATTGATAGTTTATATATAACAATACAAATAGTGAAGTATATAATATAAAATATATTATACAAGTAATACAAACATACCAATAGAGTGTATATATTGCAATACAATTATTTAAACTATATCTCTTTAGAATATCTAGAATTTAAAATATTAATGGAATTATATTTTTATAAGATATATAAATATTTGTTATATTCTATAATAACTAGAACCTAAATTAAATATGAAATTATTATTAATATCTAATAAAATATCAATAGAATTATTATTATTAATCTTATTTAACTTATTTGGATTATAAAAAATATTTTTATAAATAGTTTGATGCTGTATTAATTAATTGCATTAATTAATATTTATTATTTGTTTATTATTTGTTATTATTTATTTTTATATTTTATTATATTTATATAATTTTTAGAGAATCAATAAAATTATATATATTATATATAATTATATATTATTTGTTTATTTATATACTGTATATAGGAAAATTATCTATAAGGGCCTGTGGGTCAATAGCACAGTGGGTAGTGCTCCCAGATCACCAAATGCATGTCCCTAGTTCAATACCCACAGGGGGCAAAAACGTATTTACTTTTATATGTAGGTTTATTGGATATCCTGCATATATTGTACCTAATAATTCCTATCGCATCCAAATTTAGTTAGGCTGTATGAAGATGGAACCTCTGGTCTTCCCAACAATCATGAACTGAAAACAGATCAAAGCATGAAAGGTTGCACAAGGAAAGGTTTTTGGTCTAACTTCAGTAAAAGCTCACAAAAATCTCAACACAAACTGGCGATGGCAGACACCATCACACAACCCAAAGAGGTTAATTCTAAGCTAATCTATCCCAATCTGGAGCTTGAAGATCTATCCCATAAGTGGTGTTCATATAAACTTAAATGGACTGAAAGGGCAAAAGGTTATTGGCCACAGGAGGTGACAATCCAGGCAAAAATCGTTAAGACCAAGTGAGTCTGGTGAGGATCGTCAAGATTAAATCAGAATCCAAGCAAAGACGCCAGTTCCACAGGTGATGAAAACAGTAGTACGACGATATGCTAGTGGCACATCCTGAGGGTCGGTGATAACAGTGACTGGAATACTGGGGTTAGTCTCTATAATAATATTCCATAATAACTTGTTCCCTGCAATAATAAACCAGCAGGTTTAGGAGGATTTAAACTAGTGGTAGGATTCCCCCCTTGCAGAAGTTCCACCTGACGTGTGGGCACATCTTCATGATGTTTAAATGAACGCATAAGTTGGA